TGCCATAGGAAACAGCAAGTTATGAGACAAGGAATTGAATTCTGTATACACAGGTTAAGTGGAGACTGCATTCTGGAGAGAGCGCCCGGAGATACTGCGGTGCTATTGTTTCGTCCACCGACTGTGACGGAAATCAGTGCAGCTGATAATTCACGGATGTGTATATGCCTTTTGCCCTGTGCATCCAAGTGGCTGCCTGGAAGGAACAATGAACTGGGAAATGGCAGCTTCTTATCCTCCTGGGGACCAGGGTTGATTGTCTGGGGTCCGAGGTCTGTGGCTCCTACTGCTCAGACCGTTCTCCAGGTGAGGCTGCCTGGGTGGGCTGCCGGAATAGAACAGGGAGTCAATCACACCACAAAATGTATAACCCTGAGCAGAGCAGAGAGTCTGAAATGCTCGCCTTTGTTAAATAGTCACCCTCCATTTCCCCCACTGTTGGAATTTCTAGATTAAATAGGTGCAGAACATGTTATTGGGCCCATTTAAAGGCAGAGAAAGAACATGAATTTGAGATATTAAAACACGTCATTATTCCTAAAATCTGTGTAAATCCTAAAATTGGATCTTCACCAAGCAGAGAAGAGTCCCCATGAGCGTAGGACACATAAGGTGAGGCTGCTAGGGTTGTCCTGGGTGAGACAGTTCTACAGACTCTAGGACAACCTAGCCGCTGCTCTCTCCTCTGCCGCGGTGTCTCAAACTACGAGTGCAGAGTGCTGCATTAAGTTTTAGAGAATCAGCACCATAACTCTCTCTGCTTGACCGACTGAAGGTGCCTCAGTAATTACGATTCAGGGCCTGTATGCACTGATAAGATAAAAATCTGGAGATTTCTGTACTCAAGCAGCGATTTTGAAAATGTCGAATATCAAGTCATAAACTTTAGAAAATAAACAACTATTTGAAAGACATACACCTAGTTTTAAAAAAAAGTAATGCATCCAACTTACCTGCTAACATCTAACCGAAGGCATGAAAGGAGGTATTTTCAGGAGAGGCTCTGCCGTGGGTTTCCGCCACTGGCCCCACCCCCACCCACAGAACGGGGCTCAGGGGTGTCAGGAGAGGAAGACCTTCTCAAGTAAATTCCTATGGACTGTTCTTCAGCAGAAACCTGCATGGTGTTGGCTGCACTGACACTGGAACAGCTCTTAACTCCTTTAGAACATCATCCCTGGTCTCCTGCCCACTGGCCTCCACCATAAAAGCCAGTGAGCAGCAGAGAAATGGGGGCGGGAAGCACAGCGTCACATCCGTTATGAGAGGACAGCAGGTGATGCTTATCGACGTGCTGGCTCCACTTTCTTCTCCATAACCTAAACAGGGCACACCTGGCGCCTATCACCTCCAAGACCTCTCCTTCCAACACCAAGAAAGATGTGCATAATTACAACCACCTAGGCCACCAAATATTATCTGAGTTTCTTTCTTTCTCTCTCTTTCTCTCTCTCTCTCTTTCTTTTTCCTTCCTTCCTTCCTTCCTTCCTTCCTTCCTTCCTTCCTTCCTTCCTTCCTTCCTTCCTTCCTTTCTTTCTCTCTTTCTTTTTTTTGTAAAGCAACAGCTTTTAAGTCAAATCATGTGTCTAGTGCTTGGGTAAACTACTTAGAACATGGAGTTCCCACACTGAACATAAATAAGCCTCACTGTAACAAGTTCAAAAGCTGGTGCAATTTCAACAACAGGAGCAAAGTACCATCAACATAGTTACTATTTTACATTTTTTCCCAAAAGGCCATTTAAAAAAGGTAGACAGGAAGAAAGGAAGGAAAGCAAGCTGTTACCTACACTATCACTGTAATTTCCAAAAAAATAAATAAACCCCTCAAATTTATGTCCATTATACTATACTAAAAAAGACAATTGCAGAAAATAAAGAAAGTGTAGGAGACTGTTCTATGTGGCATGGGCCCAGCTCCCACTCAGAGATGCACAGGACCCACGCCTATGGATAGGTTCTCCCATGGAGAATCAGGCCTGCAATGAGGCTAGGCCACTATGAGTCTTGCTTTTTGCTAAAACTCCCTCCCTGAATTGAGGATATTTACTGCACAGTCACTTCCTAAAATCCATGCTAAACCCTCCAAGGATGAGTGTAACCGGTTCAACCACTTTTGCCTTTTCATTTGCAAATATTTCTCTTCTGTGATGTGATTAGCGGCATTGGCTCCTTTGTTTTCTGTAAAAGGTAACCACCCAAAGTGAACTTGTGCATAGTAAATGACGACCATCATGTAATGGGCGGAGAAACCCAATAAAGGCCTGTCATGGTGGAGGCCGTGGCTTTTGCTGCCCTTGAGAGAAAAGCCATGCTGTCCCTTTTCCTCCACTGGACTTGGTAGTCCATGTGAATGTCTCATTTCATCCATAATGAATCAGACACTGTGGGCCAGTGTCTGCATCAGCAAAGCAGACCTTCCCATTTATAAGTTAGCTTAATGAAACAAGTCCTACATTGTCTTTATTTTCCTCATTTCTCTGATGACTTTTGAATCTTTCCTCAAGGACAGACATTGGTCCTGGAACAGCGACTGGAGATGTTTAGGAGCATCTAATGTAGTTCAGAACCCACATTTCACAGATGGGCAGAACAAGGCCCAGAGCATGGCAGTGCCCAGGTCTGAATGCCTGGCTCCCACTAGTCCACCAGACTAGTTCCTTCCCACCAGAGCAACATCTCAGGACTGGGGACCAAGGCTCAGCACCAGCCTAAGAATCAGAAGGGTACCAGACTAGTTGCAGGAGGGTCATCTCCTAAGTTACATAAAGGTCTAACCACTATGCCATACACTTGATACTAATATTACATGGCAGTGATTTATAACTGGTATGCTGCAAAAAAATGTTAAAACATTCAATACCTGACTATTTAGTCAGGGGCACTGACCTCTTTTCTCTTAGATTGTCAGGTAAAAAAAAATGTTAACAGCCAACACAACAAGAGCCATGCAGTGTGAATGAATCAAAGTTATGTTTTGTCAGATCAGCAAAAGATCTATTTTTTGGTGTGCCACAGAATTGCAGTAATTAGTTTATGTGTGCCATGAGATGGAACAGGTTGAAAATCGCTATTATATGGGATGTCAACTGTAACCAGGGAAAAAACCAGCCACTGGAGATGCCAGGTAAAAACAGAAGCATTCTGGCCTCAGCTTCCTCTTCCCCTGCAGGTGGCTGTCTTAGCCCTCTGCAGAGCAGGGGCCCTTTTAACCTCATGGCCCCCTAATATTCTTGCTCTTATTCTTGCTCTCTTTCCATTGATGCCACTTGGCCATTTCAGGTCCTTCCATTTTAAAGCCAGACAGTAGTTACTACAGGGCTGTAGTGCTGGTCATAGGGATTTTACTCTTGTGACGGTGGGAATGCCAGGTGAGATCAGGGTTTCTTTGGCACCAACTTACTTTTTCTTTAGCAGAGTATCCAGAGAGGTGCTTTTGTTACAAAACAAACAAGGTGGGGGCCAAGGGCAATATACTATTACTGAAAGAATCCCCCAGGTCCGTTATGTCTGTCATCTATAGGAAAGATGTCTCTCAATGCCAGAGGTTCGTGAAAAGGAAAGGAAATGTTTATTTAATGCTATACAAACTTAAAGTAGTGACCTAATGTCTTCATCAAAATCCTAAAGTCCCTTAAAACAGCCACAAACACACACAGTCCTTCCTTCCCCTTTTGCCCAGGCTGGGGTACTGTATCTCAGGAAAGGAAATAGAAGTCCTTGGCTCAGGCAGCCTCCGGTTCTTCCCAGTGATCCGTCTTGATTGGGAGACCTTCCTGGGTTCCTGGCACCCTCAGCTATGTCGCCAGGATCTCTGCTAAAGCTGGGTGGTAGTTCCCCCTACTAAAATCTGCGGGGGTCCCCACTCTGGCAAAGGCATGTGGTCCTCTCTCCACTGCTCCAGCTGCGTGGTTCTCTCTCCTAGGGCCACAGGAGTCCCCACTCACCCAAAACCACATGCTTCTCTCCCTCAATGGCTGCCGTGTCTGGGTTTAAATCCCTGCACCAGTCTTCCTCTGCAGCCCCATTTCCGACTCCTCCCACACTCAGTTACACTTGCCAGTAATCTTATATTCTTCCAGCTTTACTGGGCTGCCATTGTGGGTCTGGGCAGGTGCGGCCCCATATCATGGAACCAATCTTCTCCAAGCTCCTATGCAGGCACTGTAACTTGAAGGACCTGCCCCCCGTCACATTTTGGGTGGGAGAGTCCCTTTCCATCCTCCTGGCCCAGAGCATGGCCACAGCTATTTAGCATATTTAAGTGACCAGCCGAAGGCTATAGGTATGTTAAATGGCTATGCCCATGGATTAGCTGCAAAGCTGTCAGCTGTACAAAACAGCCCTGCATGTTCTTGCTGTGTGTGCCCCTTCCCCCAACTCATACATGTGGGGGAAGGGGTGAAGACATCTTAAAATCTTCTGGACACCTTGAGTTCTGGACCCCATTTCAAATGCCCATTTGGGGTCTCCCCTCTTGGCTGCACCCTGTAACACTTTCATTAAACTTCCACAAGATGGAAATAAGTTGGAGTTTTTTCTAGTTCATTCAACATTCCTTACAAATATGTAATTTAAACTGGTAGCTTTTAGATGTAAATTACACAAAGGAAAAGCCTACCAAATAAACAGAATTTCTTGAATTCTAAAGGGGCTTCATTTGTAAGAGGTAAGCAGGTCTCTTAAAACAAAAGATTTCCCCCAAATTTAAATATCTTACAATTTAGGATTAAAGCATATTCCTAAAAGAGCAGCTGAGATCCATTTTTACATTCTTCCTCAAGAATAGAACTACTTACCTATTTAGTATACACTGGAGGAAGCTTAGATACCCTGATCTGTTCTCACTACTCTAAGAAACTTTAACAAAAATGTTTTCATTTCTTTGCAATTAATATGTGACAAACAAACAAACAAACAAACAAACAAACAAAAAAGCCCAAGAAACTGCTGGTTAGTTCAGCCACAGGGAAGATGCTCAAGCTTTCTAAGATGACTGACATGACTCTACTAAACGAGCGTCTGGATGTCCACGGCAAGAATGAAAAGCACTCCAGGGCTTGGGTTACAGTCACAAAGCTCTGTTATCACATTTGCCAAACACCACCAGGATCACACAGGCATATTGATCCTGAATACGAGGCACTGGTTTCAGAAGGAAAAGAATTTCACCAACGCAAAGGCAATTCCACTGAAGCTGAAGCACTATCTTCAGAAAGGGGGAGGGGATATTTGATAGAGTCTGGAGCTTTAAAAATTAACTCTGTGGTTTCTTTCCCTTGAAAATGCTTCCAGTCAGGACACGAAGAAATGTAAAAAGCTAGTTAAACTTAACCGTTATTCTTAACCGTTGAAATCAACATTTAATTCTTTCACTGGCTCACTTTGGGGATGTTGTGTGAGAAAGGGAACACAGCGAACTAGCTTTTTCCATTTTTCTTATGAATTCCAGCCTTGGGAAGAGCAGAGCTGGAGTTGCATAATAGCTCTGGGAAAGGTCTGAGGCACCGAGGAGCTCAGATGAAGGTAAGGCTGCACACTTGTCATCTCTCCAAGTCAAAACCTATGGCCATGGGCCACCTAGACCCCGTTCGGGGGGAAAGGAGAGACTTTTAAAAACAATTTTCAGTGTCTTGAAGGAAAAATAAAAAATCCACAGGCAAGCCATTTTCCTAATTGAAGTGTAGTGGCTTAACATAAGCTTCTTCGCAACAAATTTGTAAGTGTGCAGCCACCTCTGATTCCACAAGACTGAAGTGTGTGATGTTTTGTTAAATTGCAGAGGCACAAAGAATGGCAATTGCCCTGAACAGTCACAAATGAAAGGCCCAGTTCATTACAAATACAGCTGAAGCCAGTTGTCCATGCAAAGTACATGTATATTGAAGGAGTGAATAACATACCCATTCCGAGAGGTCACTGATCTAGCAAAATCAAAAACAAAACAGTAATTGGATATTTTAGTGGGTGCAAGTCTTTCTGAAAGCTTTTAAGTAATTTGAGGAATCTACTGATACTTACCACAGAGAAAAAACCCAATGAGAATAAAGGGGTTAGATTTTCTGCCTGGTGATTATTTTATTTTAACTAGAAACTAGCAGTAGCACTAGATCATTAGATGCCAACGTTTGTGTTTACTCTCCCGCTGCCCCCTCTCCCCTCCCAGTACAGTGCTGGTGTCATCAAGAAACTAGCAGGCAGGCAATATGCTGCAGTCTAAATTTGTCTTAGCACTTTTTCATAATTATAGTTATGCGAGAAAATCCACCAAAGCAAATGGTCAGTACCTACATCAGGCAATTTGGGATTTCTTTTTCTTAGAAATACTGTAAATAATCAATAGGATTTTTCTTATACCAAACAAGGGCTTTCTTACCACAAAGTAAGTTCTTTTGGATGGCATAGTAGATATTAATTAGATATCAAAAAGCCAGTTCAATGAGTTATTTGCATAAATTTTCATAAGTACCAGCTTATCAGAGAAACATTAAAATCCACTATCTCAACAAAAAATCCTAAAATCCTAGTGTAACATGAGAAAAAACTGTAAGAAGGTGAAGGGGGTAAAGAGAAGGGATATCTTTAATGGCAATTTTAATCTATGAAAAAACACATTAAAAACCTTAGTTTGGAAGCTTCTCATTATTATTTGATTTCTGAAAATAATGTCTGGCTCTTTCAAGAAAGAAGTTCTGTCACCACTACAGAATGCATCCCATATTTTTCCACAAGAAAATTTACAGGGGATTCAATGTCTCACAAATTTTTTAGTGATATAGTCATCACTGAGTGCTTTAGGGCTGCTGCCCTAGATGGAATTTGGGACGTTCTCTTTGTCCACATCGAAGCAGAAGGAAGATAAACACAGTGACCCGTTCTCCCTGACAAGTGAGTCAGGGTCTCAAGAACAATGGCTGACACCAACAGGCCACATTCCCACTGCTAATCAGAGATAGGCTGCAGTCATGGGATACTCCAGAGGAGGTGAGGTGGTGACACTTTTCTATGCTAATTTGGCGCATTGCAACCTTCACAGGTAGGAGAGAGTATTACTGCATCTCAGTGAGGCCTGTGGTCCTTTAGAGATGGTGGGGCCCAAGCCTAGAGGAGGGAAGACCTTTGCCCACAGTCAAACTTCCAGTTGGTGGCAGCGTGAGGACTAAACCTAGACCTCTTGACCCCAAACTTTGTCACCAGACAGGCTGCCTCCCATGAGCAGATATGTAAGGTGAACTCAAACGCCAGGCAGATTTTAAAGGAGTTTTTGGCATATAAACCTCCCATGCTTTTACATGTAAGAGCACTTTTACCAAGTAGATTTGGTTGTTATATAAAAATACAGAATATTGTTTTCGTAGCAGGTGTGGGTGACCAGCCTAGATTAGAAAAAAAAGTGGAGGCATTCAAAATCAGAACGCTATTTTTCTCCCTTTCAAAAGAAAAACAGGATCAGGTCAAGCAAGTTGAGAATTCAATACCACACTACCCAGCTCTTACAGACTGGTGGTGGGCAGGGGTGATAACCCCAGGTTGAGCAAACGGCCTGCCGAGTGCTGGCACTGGGCTGGGTCGTCCTGATGGGGGTCGCCAAAGAGATACTTGGAGAGCTTGATGCAGTGGCTCCTTACAAACCAGTGCAAAAGAAGTTCAGACTTGAACACAATGGGGCTATGTTGGTGCATCCTAGTCATCCTGGTGCTGGGGCAAGTATGGGTAGGTCCTGGGGTTTAAATCATGAGACATGCAGAAGTGACTGTAGTTTTTCTCCAAATGAAATTCTATGTCCCATTCTAAAGGTGTAATTGATGCCTATTGTTATATTTTACTTATTTGATGATTCCTCTTTTAAAAATGTAGTGTTAAAGAAATGCCAATGAGGATGAGATTTATTTAGAATTATGTACAGAGTTCCTCCATTAGTCTTATGCACATACCAAAATAAATTCTCATTCTGACTCTTTTCTGACAATTGTGATGAGGAGGTAAAAACCTCAATGTGTGGTTGCCTCTCCCATGCCCCCAACCAAGGACCTGGCCTGCAATCCAGGCATGTGCCCTGACTGGGATCGAACTGGCGACACTTTAGTTTGCAGGCCTGTGCTCAATCACTGAGCCACACCAGCAGGAAGGTGAAAATCTCAGGGGAAGAGGCTAAATCTGGCTGATGGGGGTGTCTCTTCTCTTATGTGATATAGAAGTGATGGTGGGAGCTCAGGGTCACAGGATAAGGAGGAGGTAGGGATCCTATTAGCCTTCTTCATTCTGGATGAATTTACTGCAAGATCTTTAAATGTGGGCATAGCTGGAGTTCAAACTTTAGACAAGGCTTCAAATTCCCCTCATCAGCATCTATTTTGATTTGTTCACTAGTTGAAAAAATGTTAGGGTAGCTGCATCTTTAGTACATTCTTTTTTTAATGATGTCACATTTTTTGTGGCCTAATTATCTGTAACTTGATAAGATGGGTGAATGTCCTGAACTTGAATGCAAAGTAAGTATCCCATGACATGTCCTTTAAAGACCTTTATAGGAATACCCCATCATGGGAGGTTATGCCACACTGGGTGTTTACAAGGTCACATGGTGCCAGGAGACAACCTCCTAGCTTCTCAGAAGGCATGGGCACATCGTCCTGGGGCATGACACATGTGCCACATGGTATGTGTGCCTTTCTCTAACAACTGCACTGTGTGTAGTATTGCCACTCTAAAGACAGGGGCAAATGAAAGGAACCTAAAGCTCCTTTTTAGGGCCAATGGGACTTTCATGTAAATAATACAGGGAATTAAAGAACTACCTGTCAGTGAGTATGTCTGTGAGGAAGATACTTGTAGAAATAATATCTTCCCAAGTCACATTTCCCAATCAAGGTATATTAAATTCTAGATATTTTAGTGTCTAAAGTCAAGCATTATCTTACGTGTTCATGATGTTATGTGCTCTTATGTGTTATATAAAATGTATCAGCCATACATGTAGCAGCCATAACATTAATTATAATTATTTTATAGGTATATTTCATGTCTTTTTTTAATGGTAAAAGTCTACCAATAATTAAGTCAACTTTTAGAGAAAACCAGAGCCCTTATCAGAAGAAGTACAGCTGGTAATTTTATAAATCAAGGCCCTTTTTTTTTTTCAGAAGCCATTATGCCCATTCATGTCAAAACGCATTTGTATTATGTAGCCCAAGATGCAACATGTACTTGGTCATATAGCATGGAAATGTCCTTCCTTTGATAAAAACATGTTTGAAGGATCTGTGACAGGTTGAAATGGATCAGAAGAAAAAAAGAGGAACCAATATTCATTTATATCCCACCCCAAAGCATTTGTAGGAATTGATTTAATTCTCACTCAATCCTATGAGTAGGTTGCATGTTAAAGATGTGGAAAGTAAGGTACACAGAAAGGAGAACTAATTTGCCCCATGGTCACCTGGTCCAGTATAGGCTGGACCACACCTGCCTGACTCCAAAGGATGACTTTTCTTGCTACAAATGCTTCTTGCTCTGTATTCAAAGTCATTTCTACAGGACGATAGGGATTGAGGGCCCAGATGGAGATGGTGATATCTCTTTTAGCCCCATGTCCTGCTGAGGATGGCTGGGGGTGTCATACACTGTAGGTCCAATCAGTCAAAATGTGAAAATAATTCAGTATTTGCAAGCAGGGATTGTACTGCAAACTCCAGACATTTAATGGGCCACAGTGCCAAGTATCTATCTGTTGGTAATTTTCCCCAGAAGAAAATCAAATAAAATTTGGTCAGAGGTAAAGTGACCCAGGGATGAGTTTAACTAAGGTGGGTTCTAAGGGGCACCAACTGTTCTCTGCTCCCAGGTCCTCATCATCATTCATTCTCCTTTTCAACATAAAGCTGGGTCTCCCAAGCTATGGGCTGTAGCTAAAGACATTTCAATGATAAACTCTTGTTGTTAAATGGAGCCAGGCATCTTTGTTTTCTTTGTTAGCAAGAGGGATTCCTGCAGAATTGTAACTCCTTGCC